ATGGAGCATTGGCTACCTGGCTCCTGGAATTTGTCCAGCCCTGCTTTATCTATACTATCTATCCTATCTATCCTATATATCCCTCTATCCAGATATGAAACATGTTTGAAAAATTTAAAGTAAAAAAAAAAAAAAAAAAAAAAAAAAAAAAAAAAGCAGTAACCCATGGCAACCAAGCAGAAACCATCAGTTCTGGTCAGAATTCAGCAGGATGAATACTGATTGGTTGCTATGGGTTACTGCATTGAAAACAAAAACCCTCCCTTTTGAATAAGGCAGAAAGTGTCAGTCTGGGGAAGGTACGTTATTGATCACAATCTGATTGTAGTGACGACTGTTTGTTGGTGTGATATTATAGATGTGTATCATGGCACATTCGGAATGTTGTGATAATGTAATCTGAGTCGTCCCATTGAATGGGATGAGTTTAGAACTGGTTGTTGCTGTTTACAGCATATAATTACTGAAGCTGTAAAATGTAAATGACCTTGCTATTGAATTGTGGTGCTTGGAACTTGTAGCCATCCTCTGACATAGCATGTCATTTTCTTATCCAGCAATGCAATGGTTGTGCATGCCAGTTCTGGACCTGCAAAGTGTCTTTCCATGACAGGTGTCTGGCGGCTTCTCTCTGATGGTGTTGACTCGACCCTCATCCCACCCAGCAGGTCCTGATTATGGAGCTGCACTTTCCCTGTTTCCCTCCCTGTTTTTCTTCTTCTCTACCATACCTCCTCCCCTTTTCCTCCCCTTTTTCTTCCCCTGGTTTCTTTCTCAGCTGCTTCAGAAATAACCGGTGGATCCAGTTTTGTTTCTTGTTAATCTCATTGCTGGAGCGATGACCTCCCTCTCCCTTCTCTTTCCTGAAAGTACGTGACATTCCTAACTTTCTTCACTAGTCAACCCCAACATCTGAACACTGTCCTGCAGTCCTCCTCGGTGCTCCTACACTTCTCTCCTCTGGTCAGCTCTTCTCCACTCTAATCAGGACTGCCCCCTGTCATCCCGGACTGCCCCATTACTCCTCATCTTCACCTGCTAACTGAAATCAATGGAACAGACCCATACGTGAGGTAGCTACAATGTCGGCTCTTCTTATCGACACACGCAGGCTTACATTTTCTGATGATACTTTAAAAAACTGTGCTCTGATCTTTGTCTTGCTTGTATGTCTACCGACAACTTTCCCGAATCTTTGCGTTGTGCTATAAATGTCAGTGTAAAACATGCCTTCTGTCGCCTATTTATCTCTGTTTAGTGCGGTAACAACACATATTCCACTTTGTGTTACTTTTTTATACTACGTGGTGCTTCAAATTTTGGCTTGGACTTAATTTGGTGGTCTAACAGCTTTGTAACGTAGTATTTGCTTGTGATGGTCTTCGGGGTACGTTGTTATATGTATTATGTGAAACCCTAAAGCTACCTCTGACATGGTTGAGGGGCGCATTGTAATATTTAGTACATGTAATTGTGTGACAGATTTGTGGGGATCATTGTAATGATGTACAACTTGTATACTTTTGGCAAATTTAAGGAGTATAGTGTAACATGTATTGTATGTACCCCTAAGGGTGTGTGTGCCCGATGTGAGTGGGTCACTGTACAATTTAGTATATGTACAACTTCAGGTACTTTTAGAAAGTTTAAGGGGTACATTGTGACACGTGGTATATAAACCTCTATGAATAATTCAAACCTGTTTTGAGAGGTACAGTGTAACATGTCATTATATAATGATAGATTGGAGGGGTACATTGTAGTATAGTATATGTACCCCTAAGGGTACTTGTGACCTATTTAAGGGGCACATTGTAATATGTAGTATATGTACAACTTGGGATAGGTCTGCAAGTTTGAGGGGTACATTGTAACACGTGAAATAGAAGCCCTTATGCATAATTCTGATTTGTATGGGTTTTATGCACTCTGAGTTTAGAGTTACATTGTAACATATAGTATATGTAGCCTAAAGGATACTTATTACATTTTCCTGTGGTATATTGTAACATGCATTATATGTACCTCCTAAGGATACTTGTGACAGATTAGGGGGTACATTGTAACAAGCGTTACATGTACCCTATATATACTTGAGATATTTTTTTACATGTAGTATATGTATCCCTAAGGATACTTGTGACTGGTTGAGGGGGGGCACAATGTAACATATAGTACTCATATATGTAACATGTATATGTACTCATAAGGATACCAGTGACTGATTGAGGGGCACATTGTAACATGAAGTATATGTATTCATAAGGATACTTGTGACTGATTGGGGGGCGGGGGGGGGCACATTGTAACATGTAGTATATGTACCCCTAAGGATACTTGTGACAATCGGGGGATACATTGTAACATGTAGTATGGGTATCCCTAACGAGACTTGTGACAGATTTAAGGCATACATTTGCCCATATAGTTATCATGTAGCAGTTGAAATCATCATCAAGTCAGAATTCCGATGCCATGCATTGTGTATTATTTAGAAAATAATGACACATTCCAGAGGTAGCTGGCAACATTTGTTGTGTTTTAAAGTGTACATAATGGGCTACAACTACAAAACATTGTTATATGTATCAGTCATCACATTTGTTGTATTATTAAATATCACGTCATATCTTAGTCCAGTTATTTTTCTTGTACACAGAAAACATTTAGCATGTTTTGAAATTGCCTGTTAGCATTGTGGACTGGTCAGTTGTATCTGTAGTGTAGAAGCACGCTATCTATTTGATTCTTGTTCTTCTGAGGACACTCAGATTAGACTATGAAACCTGCTTGCCGATTGTGCCGTGTCTATTCCATATCACAACTGGCCTGTTTTAATTGTCTACGGGTCCTGATGTTATCAGTGCTGGTTCCTAGGCATCCATCTGACCGACAGGTCAGGGGCTACTGAACCGAAAAACTGTTGTCTTCCCTATATTCAAAAGTTTTTCTGAATTTTCTTCTTTTTTTTTTTTCTTTTCTACATGGTTGGTCTGTAACATGTTGAAACAAACCTGTTATCTGTCACTTGTGAAAGCAATATGATCTGTCTGAGAAGGAAAGGGAGAAGACTAGAAAAGAGAAGGGGGGAAAAGTGCTTTTTTGATATATGCAGCATTTAGAATTATAATCACATTTTTTTTATTTCATTTTTTTTTTTTTTTTACTTTTTTGGGAAGTGATTTGGAGACAAGACTTAGAGCAGCCTACTTTCCAGTAAGTAATGTAGAAATTCCAGGAGCAGGAGCTAAATATACTTGGTGGATCAATACAGAAATGGCTGGTTGTGAATAATTTAACTGGCAGTGCTGGAACAGTTTGGAAGCTAAAAGCGAACGGGGAAGAGGTGACAAGAAAATTCCTCCTCATGGCCTATGATGTAGATCAGGGCTGTAGATCTTGACAAGTCGCTTCTTTTTTTTTCCCCATCTTATTTATACTTTGTACCTGCAGTGGAATGACAGTTAATTCCTCTGGCTTTTCTGACATGTGCTTTCCCAGTTCACCGTCTTCCTACATTGCACTGTTTTTGTATTCGAGCTCTCCTATCAGGCACTGAATGTATTGAATACTGTGTCATCAGGCTACCACCCTGTAACTTTGATTGATCAAATATTTAACAATACAGAACAAAGAACGGTTATGATGTGCGGGAACCGATGGCAGCCTATCAGATTATAGCTTACATCAGCTAGAAGTATTTAGAGTGGAATGTGATTTCTGTTTGGTTGCAATTGTTATATTAGCCTTATGCTTTTTGCCATGCTTAATTAAGCCTGATGAAATATTTCACATACACATTAAAAATTGTATTTTGTCAGCTGAGCAAACTTTTCCTCCGATGCAAACTTTTTTTTTTTCTTACCCATATTTGATTTGGCATATTTGATTCAAGATGCTATTGCCAATTGTGCCAGCAAAGAGTTAAAATAGCCTCTCAAGGATCTTGTTTTAATGTAAAGTCCAAGAGATCAGAACCAGCACAGGAAGCAATCACAAACTGACCGCATAGTCATTTCGGTCTATAGGTTGTGTCCAGTAAGTTTTTGCTGCACCGTGCAATGCATGTATTATTTAATCTCACACACCAGTTCCATGTCCATCAGATATTACATACACTATACTGTATTGTAGAAGTAGAGGAAACTGACTCACAGGCAGCGCTGCAAACAAGAGTAGGAGAAACTAAAAAGCACATCCTTTTTTTTGTGTGATCAGTATAAGGTAAGACACTTGTTTCTTTCTTTCCTATATAATCGTTTGCTCAGCAAGAGATTCGTATGTGTTCAGCAATATGGTACATCAGATCTACAAGGGTTGCTAAAAATGTCAACTCCTAAATAAAACTAAATGGTTATCTGTAGCATTCAAAACCTACTTTTTCCCCTGTACTGTTGTATCTATTAATGACTTGCGACCTACTTAAAATTTGGTTGGGAGGTTGGGCATGTAAAAAAAAAAAAATATTTTCCCCTCTAGATAAATGTTCCCCCATGTGTAGCAGTTGGTGCACAACAGGTTAACTGTGTGATGTCAGGTTCCCTTTGATAATGGTGTAACGTATAGCACACAATGTCTTGTTTCTTTCAGAGGGGTTAAATCATTTAACACAGGAAAACCTTAGTTTGTGACAAGCACTCAACTGACAGTGGGGACATAGGTACATTTATGCTGTGCTCTTGTAGAGTGTCTGTATCCTTATCCATTTTTTACTGTGTTTTTATTTTCATCAGTGTTGCACTTTCAAGCAGGTTTTTTTTTTGCATTTTTTTATTTTATTTAAGAAAATAAATAAATATATATTTTATTTATTTTTCGCATACGTTACTTACTGGAAAACGTTTACATTTTTGTATCTGCTATAGTTATAGGGAGACGAACAAAAAAAGAATATTTGCGAGGGAGATTGTCAGTTTTCAAAACACTTAAAACAGACACCTACCTCTGGATTTGTACATCATAATAAAAATGAAGGCATGGATCTCAGCAGGTGGCCCAGATATACGTACAGTACTGCCAAGGCAACAGAAACATGTAAATACTTTGGTACAAATTACACATTTATTGCCTGTGGAAGGTTTCCAGTCTTTTTGAAGATGTCCTATTTTTGTATTTCAGCACTGCTCTTTGACTATGGAAACAGAGAGACCCGATGGATATGTAACTAGTAAGTGGCAATTTTATTTAAAAAGTTGTGCCCTGCTTTTCTTGTGTCAGTACTTCATTTTGCCTGCGGAGCTTGCGTTTTTCTTTGTTAATATCTAGAAAGTAACCTTATTATAGGACAACAGGGTGGGGAAAATGGTGTAGCTTGCAGTTTAGGAAAATAATGTATTACGTACTTGGACATTTTAAAATAATTTCTTGGGATTATTTTCTGAGTAGGTATATCTGAGCATGATGGTGCATAGGACAGCCCATCATGACATGACTATTGTAAAAAAAAAAGTTTACTGACAAGCCACAATTATGGGAATAGTCCTGATTTGAGTATAAGATAAAAAAGAAAGGATTTTCAGGCAGCTAATTTAATGTTGAAGACCAAAGAAATATTGAAGGACATGTATAATTCTTCAAAATCTCAAATTGTCCCTGAAAAGCAGGGACAGGTGACTGCTGTTTTACTAGCTGGTCTGTGAGTGTTGCTGGTATGTTTTAGCATTGTAGTGCAGATTTTCAACACCAGCTTTGCTGGAAGTGAAAGTGTTAAGTGTTAAAAGCTGGCTTTATCATTCTACATAAGTCATTCCTATATAGGTGTGTTTGAATGTGTTTTGGTTTTTTTTCTTTACCCCCTTTCTTTAATATATGAGCACATAGCCTCAAGAGGACAAAACTGGCCGGACCAGCATTCTTCGCTGATTACATATCCTATTGACCAGGTTTGCCCAAAACCCCGAAGCTAGGTAGCCAGATTGTATGGTGTCAGGCTTTTGGCGCTAAGTTAAATTGACTGCAACAGGTGCATTTGTTCCCTTGCTCCTTGTGTGTTATCTGACTGCATAGCTCACACCTGCTTTTCTCAGTTGCCAAGCTCCTGGTTGACGCCGAAATGATATATTGTTTGTTTTGACATAACAGGGAGTGTTACATATATGTTGCTTGAGGAGAGGGTGCAGACTAAGTGAAATATGCGGGTTGCCTGAAAAGTTGAGGCAAATTTGCAATTCGCTTGATTTCACTCATAACTCTGTACCAACTGTGTTTCCAAACGGTGCCTGATTTGTAACTATGATCTTCACCATGTCTTCGCTTTCCATTGATACCTATGTATTACAAAACTTTTAGGTCAGATGACGGGCACACTAAATTGATAAAATGGTGCAGAACGTTTGAAGTTTAGGTGATACCTTTTAATGGCTAACTTGTGTTATTAAAGATGCAAGCTTTCAGGATTCCTTCGATGAATGGTATCCCCTAAACTTTGAACTTTTCTACATTAATCGACGGATCACATGGTACAATAATCTACTACTAATAAAAATAGTGGGAATGCTTAAGATGTTCATCAGATAAATTCTTGTATGTCTCAGACGGATACTTTATTCTTTAATCTGTTCTAGCATGTACCTGTGCAGAGGTGTAGGTGCAAATGAATTTGGTGATTAAACGGAGAGCTTTTATGTTAAGTCAAACTAAAATCTGGACAACAAATGGTGAAAACGAAAAGCCAGGAGTACGAATGTGAAAATATTGCAGACAGTATAGTTTGATAACATCAGGCCATTGCGTTTCTCTATAAGTCAGCATAATAGCAGTGGCCATTGCCATTTGTAACCACCATATAGAGCACTGATCACAGTAAAGCTGGCCATACACCTTACAGCCATCGCACGACTTTCGTTGTGCGATGGTTGTAAGGTAATTAAAATCTCGTACGATCTGCCCATCTTGGACAGGCAGATTGTACTTGCGATCACCGATGATTCCAATGCTGAGCGGGCAGTGTGCACTTGCGCTCACCGGCCCTTTGTACGGTCGCACAAAGACGTGCGACCGTACAGTAGAAACGGTTATCGTACGATAATCGACAGGTGTATGGGCACCTTTTGGCTATTTTGGCTATATGCATGCCAATGTGCTTCTAGCATCTTTGTGAAAATTGCAGAGCTTGGTCTTTTCTATACAGGTTTCAGGGGAAATATAAGGACTTGTTTCCACCATTATACATGGCTCCATGTGTGTTGTATTGATTCACATGTTATGCTTTTTTGAAAGAAATTACTTGAATGGAAAATTTAAGGTCAACACACCCAAATACACAGGAATGTTTTTTCCAACCTACTGAAACGCAACACATTGGTGGGAACGGGTTCTATTGTAAACATTTGAATTTCTAATGATCTGCATTCAACAGGAATAAGCTTCTCTGTTCCGTGTATTTTCCTTATCCCACATAATGAAAACTGCACCAGACTATGTGTTAACCATGTTTTTAAAACACTTGTGTACAACTCTTCAAGGCTGATGTCAGAGATTCTGCTACTGGCAACATCTTGCTAGTGACATGAGCACTTACCTTTTTGGCATGGAGGCACGCACTTACTAGATGGGCCAGTAAGACATAGCCCTCTTGCTGCTTCTTCAATAGTGGTAGTTATTCTGCAGTGTTCTGGGCCAGTAAATTAAGGACTCCATTAGGGCAAGTAAAGGCCTTTCCATTGCGGTTCTGCGCTGGTGATGTGTCACCAGCAGCAAAATCACTTCTTAGAACTTCACCCTTACTGTCTTACAGTATGTTAGTGTGCAATCCAAATTTCTCCCTTTTATTAATGACGGATATCATATTTAAAGGGTATAATACAATACATATTATGTGCTTTAAGCTGCCCTGGTACTCAAGAGTATGTGAAGTTTTATATATGGGGACATTTTATATTTCAACATGTTAATCGCTTAGTTTGATCATTCGTGGTCTAGCATGTTCTATTGATTCCCCTATTTTGCTGCCTGACATCATCACATTGACTTGAATGAATTTACTCCTTTTACTTTTTTTCTGTTTCTGTGTTCGTATGAAAGAATTAGATAACAGTCTGTTGATGCAAGCAGTTTGATGGCCGGTTAGGTTCCCTTTTACAGTTCAGTGCTTCCATTTTTTTTTCACATAGTTTAATTTAGTTTGTATACAAAAAGTAGAAACCTAGCCAAAAGTAACAAAAAAATCAAATTAGTAAGTAACATATTTACAATCCTATTCATCACTGTAGTCAAATTGCACATCTTGGGACATCCATAGTTAAATAATGACTGAGCAGGTCCCATAGTAGACCAAAGTAAATAAGGCGCTAATGTGCAGCATATGTGATTACACCGTTATATAATTTTACGTTACCTATTATGATTCCACATATCATGACTTGTCTTCACTGTTGCCTATGCACATGGTAATCTTTGGTCAATCTCAAACAGGTTTTCTTCACACTTTAAGGTAACCTCCAATTCATGTTTTTAATGGATACTGATTGTAGTAGTTTGTCTTGATCTATTTTGTCTTGCAATTGAATGGAGTCTTTTTGCTTAATGGCTTTTGTCCCCAGTGGATTTGACAAAAATGTTTGTATTCTTTTAATTGGAGAGACAATGCATCATGGTTTAGGTGATTGAGCCTTGGACATGGACACCAATCCAATTAGAGCTGCAGCTAACGATTATTTTCAAAATCGATTAGTTAGCCGATTATTAAGTTCGATTAATCGGTTAATCGGATAAACAATAAAATAAAGTTTAAAAAATGGCTCCAGTGATGGACTACTAGTTTCTATTAAGATTGTAGTCCATCACAGGAGCAAGCTTGGAGCGGTGGAAGTAAAAAAAGTGTGGTGTGCAATATAGTGAAATGGAAAGTGTAAATGTATACAGCAATCAATGCAGACTGGCACCGGCTATAGAGGACTACAAATCCCAGCAATAGTACATAATACAGCGCAATGCCGAATATCACCAGCTATAGAGGAATACAACAAATCCCAGCAATAGTACATTATAGCTGGCGGTATTCCGCATTGCGCTGTATAATGTACTATTGCTGGGTTTTGTAGTCTTCTATACAGTGCAGTGCAGAATATCACCAACTATAAAGGAGTACAACAAATCCCAGCAATACATTATACATACAGTGTATAATGTATTGCTGGGATTTGTATTCCTATGTATACTATACAGCACAATGTACCATCAGCTATAGAGGAATACAAATCCCAGCAATACATTATAGAGCACCATGTGGGGGGGGGTTAGGCTTACCTGAGGGACCTGTCTATCGGCGGCTGTCATCCCCCCACACCTGCTCCTCCCTACTACATCTCCCCGCGTCCCTGTGCCGATCGTGGATGTGGACGGGCGGTGAGTGTGAAACGGGAAGGAGGTGCGGCGTGTAGAGCGTGGATGCGGGCGGGTCTGGCAGCGGTGCGCAGCGTTTGTGGAGCCGTGAACAGGGCCAACTGTTTGGAAGCCGATTAATCGATTATTGAAAAAGTTGACAACTTTTTCAATAATCGATTATAATCGATTATGTCGATTAGTTGTTGCAGCCCTAAATCCAATCCTGTATTACTTACTTTGTACTGTAGTGCTGTTTAAGAGAGCCATATACTGTATATCTAATCCTAGGTCCTCCAGACTATATATCACTTTACACAGCAGAATAAAGTGGTGGGCTAGGATAGTGCTAGGCAATGTTCAACATGTGGTTCCTCTATTACCGCTGAAAAAGGATACTCTTGCATGTCAAATTAAAACCAGCATACTATTTTGAAATCTTAGTATATACGAAATCAAATGGGAATAATTATCATGGTATTTGGAAAGCAATTGTACACTTAAAAGCTGGCTAGAGACACAAGAAGTTGATTGGATATGTAAGCATGACTTGACTGCCTTTGGGCACCTCTTTTTGCTTATACAAGAATGGTGACCATTGGTGACTGTTCATGTTTAGTCTTTGGTGCGGGGTTGTTGGAGTTTGACTGCAGACACTCTTAAAGTGCCTATACACCTGTGCCTATCGATTTTCGTTTTGGAAATCGTCCACGAATGGTATTTCGAATGATAATCGATCAGTTGATGGGACATCAACAATTTGAATTACTGTACTTCTGCCCGAATTCCTCGATCAGTCTGGCTGGAAAACTTTTTCTTAATCGTATTAAAATTGATGGATTAGTG